AACGGCGAATAAAAGATTGGGCATATCACGAACTTTCCCTGCAGCGGCCGAAAGCTCGGCGACAAGTAACGCAGCGCAGTAACTCTCAATAGGAATGTAGCTTTCATGTTTGCATCAAACAACTTTCCAAATGCTCCAGCACCTTTGCGTTTTGTTTTCGACCATGCATTCTTTGATAAAAATTGTTTGCTTGGGTGTGTACCATACCTGCCAACTTTTAATCCCTTCCATTATCATTTTTCCCAGTGGTATTAAAATGAAATTAAAGCCAACAAATACGTTGCATTTGAAAAAACTTAAGTTGACAACCATGATGGTAACGCATATTATTATATGTGCTTAGTTTTTGTAAGAATAGAGGTGATCAAAATCATTTAAAAATTAAGTTTATAAAAGAAAAAATAGTATATATTTACTACCACTTTAAATATGAAAATAAAATCTTCCGGAAAATCAGGAAGAGTTCCTAGTCCTAGTGTTCTGATTTTATTGGGCACCTGGGCCGCGAAGCGGCCCCTATCCCATTCATCTGGAATTTTATAACAGTTTTGGTTGAGCAATGAGGTGAGCAGGCAATGGAGTTGCTTTTATGAATGTTTCAAGCTCTTTGCTTGAATAACTAAAAAAGAATCAAAAATAAATTGAGCAGCTTGCTCTAAACTGTGTTTGTTTGATTTTGGAGTTGTTCAGAATTGTATCAGCATGAGTAAACGTTATTTTCAGAAAGGTTGATGAAATTATTTGTTTTGATAGTTATGATATGAGGCGTCGGAGGTGAAATGTGCAGCTATTGGTCTGTAGTTTTTATCTTTGATATAATTTTCAAATTTAAAGATTTCATTAAAATTTGCTGTTTTACATTCTATGGCTTTATCGAAAAAATCTGCGTTTAGCTTGTATATATGCTGTGATAGAGTTGGTATTTTGAGGTCTGCATGTATATTGGTATTCCGGATGAACCATCTTGCACAGGTTATTTTTCTAAGGATCTTGTTTTGGCATTGGTTTAATTTCTTCAGTAGATGTTGAGGTATCGTTGTCCAGGCAGGTGAGGCATAGGTAAGTATTGGGCGGATCATTGCTGTATATAGTAGCTTCTTTAGTTTAAGTGACATATTCTGATTATATATTAATGGTTGTATGGCTATTATTGCTGCATTTGCTTTATCTATTGTGCTTTTGATGTGATCATTCCAGGTGAGTTTGCTATTGATTATAAGGCCAAGATAATTTGCTTTTTTAACTATTGGTATTGGTATGTTGAACATTTTTGGTTGAAGTTGTGGAAGTATTTTAATTCTTCTTTTTTGTATAATTAATATTTGTGATTTTCCAGCATTTACTGCAGTTTTCCATTTTAAGCACCAGTCTTCTATTTCGTCTATATGGTCTTGTAGTTTTTGAAGAGCATGATTTGGGTTTCTGGATTTAATAATAATACCGGTATCGTCTGCGTAATAGGCTGTTATGCTGTTATAATCGGCTTTGTTTATAGGAAAATCATAAGTGTATAATATGTATAATATCGGTCCCAGAATGCTGCCCTGTGGTACTCCGGCTGTGATGTTTCTCTTTGTGGATTTTTTGTTTTTGATGGTGATTTGAAATGTTCTATTAGAAAGATAGCAGGATAGGAGTTTGATTATGCCGGGTGGAAAATTCAGCTGTATGAGTTTATATATTGTACCAGTGTGCCATACTTTATCAAATGCTTTGGATATGTCAATCATCAGGAAGGCTATTGTTTCTTTATTTATGATTGCTCTGCCAGTATAGTCTATTATTCGGAGTAACTGTTTGGTGGTATCTAGTTTTTGTCGGAATCCATACTGTTCGTCGGGGAGGGCTGTAAGAAGTGGTTTTATTCTATTGTAGATGATTTTTTCGTATATTTTTCCAAGTATGTTAAGTAGACTGATTGGGCGATAACTCTCAGGGCAGCTTGGGTTCTTATTTTTCTTGAGAAATAGAATGACTGATGCGTTTTTCCAGATTTGTGGGTAAATCCGGAAGAGTTGACAGATCTGCTGTACTATCACTTCCTAAAATTTTACCATCTTTTTAGAATCACCCTGTATACTTCCTTGGGAAAATAATTTTTAGTGGTAGTTACACTGAAATTAAATTGTTAACATTTGTTGAATTTTCATTGCCACTACAAAACCTTATTATAACAAAGCCTTATTATAACAAAGCATAAACCTTATTATAACACTACAAAACCTTATATGCCTACAAAAACTTATTATAATTTAGAAACTTACTGCTCAAACATTTCTGTTCTAGAAATTTCTGTCTTCTATAAAGAACAGAAGAGCTACGTTATTCATTCTACATTCTGTAGACAAAAGCAGGGGTTCATTATAACGGACTTTCATTGTACATTTTCTCGAGAAACATGTATATTTTTTTTTAAAAAAAAGGATGGATTAATATTTTTGTCTCTAATTATAAGGAGAGCTATAAAAATGTGATCCATATAGTGTAACTAAGGAAAGCATTCGAGCTTCATGGTGTTAATTTTACTGTTTGAATTTTACTTGAAGCATTGTTTGCAAAGAATATTCTAACACTAAAGTGAAGGAAACCAATCTTGAGACCATCTCACGAATAACGTAGAAATCATTAAGCCTGCTCACGATGCCTCACTTGTCTGTTGGAATGTTAGATTGTTTCTCCCCTCAAATCGCCTGCATTTCCCTCAAATAAGAGAGAAGCGTACAGAAGAGAGTATTCAGTTTTCAGGTATTCTGACAAAAAAGAAAAAAAAAACTCGGTGCTAATTTTCCCGAAAAAACACCTTTTTAAATGCTATAATTGGATAGCAGTTAAAAAAGTTTTTTTTTTCGTAATTTTTTTAGTTTCTTGCAGTTTTAATGAAATACATCTGGACTAAGTTGTATTTCATCGAAACTGCAAGTAATTGCAGTTAAGAAGTGTTGAGCAAAGAATGTTTTTTAAAAAAAACATACACACAGCGGTATTGATATATTTAGAATTTTATAAAATTTTTTCAGCGCTTAACACCACACCAAATGATTATGAGACTTTTTTATTTCATAGTTTTAAAGAGTTGTTAGATATCATGGTAGCCATGTAGCACACATACATATCTATCAATTTTTTTCCTCTTAGCCAAAGGATTTTTTTTCTTCAAATTTTAGAAATTTTTTTTTTAAAAAAAGACTCTTCCAAAATATATATTTTAAAATTTGCCTTTCTCGTCAAGCAAGTGTGTTTTAGGGGCCGTTCAAAAAGTACGTACACAAAAATGGAGAAATTTTAACACCCTCCCCTCCCTTTGTACATTACCGTACATAAGGTCATACTCCCCCTCCCAGAGTACGTACATTTTATTAGTCTACCCCCTTTTTCATAAAAATTAAAATAATTATGTTTTAAATAAAATTAAATATTTATTTAAAATAATTCATTCATCAATAATTTATTCATCATTCTTATAATGTACGTACTTTGTACAAAACCGTACAAAATAGCAAATCCCCTCTCCCACTTCGGGATGTACGTACTTTTTGAACGGCCCCTTAAAACTATTTGTCTCATCACAACATATAAAAAATTTACTTATATACATGGCTGCCAACTACTGTGCTTTTTGAAAAAAACATTTTATAGAGTGGTAGGTAATTAAAAACTGAACCTTTCAAAAATTTTGGTAATTTTGCCAACCTTTTAAAAACCTTATCACGAGAGAGCTGGAACAGAGTGGAGTTACACATGATGTTTTGAATCATTTACATGCTGTTTAGTGAAAAATAACTGTAATAAAATTTAGAAAACAAAGAATCATTCATTAAAACATAAATTTAGCTACCATAAGAAGAAATTTTCCGAAAAGGAGTTGAAAGTTGGCTGCTCCGCCTATATAAATGTATAAATACCAGATACAGGGGTGCCAACTGCTATGCTTTCGGCAAAATTGGTAGCGAATCGAATAGTAAAAATTTTAGTATAAGTATGCCTACTTTTTAAGAGACAAATGACATTAAGTTGCATTTCGAAACTTTGAATATGTAGTGGTGAAAAAATTACTTAAAATGAAAAATACTGAACTAAACATAACTTGAATTTCGTTACCACTAGAAAATATTTTTTTTACAAGGCGGAGAAAGTTGGCATCTCTTGCAGACAGTTACGCGACAACCTGTTTGGTGAATAAAATATTCATTAACCCCTTTGCGGCGGTTGATTCAGAAAAGCATTTGTACAAAATGAGAATCAAGTTGTAATTAAATAAAAAACGGTAACTTAAATGTAGTCTTTTCTAATTTGACAGACTTACTTTGCTTTTACTTTAATTATTGTTAGTTTAATCATATATATAATCAATTAATTCAAATTATAATTAAATCGTTTTAATTTTAACAAAGTAATGGTGAATTAAATAAATCAAACAATTATAACTCCGCCCACAAATAAACTGCTAAAGAATTACTTTGATTAGCAGTTTTATCTTTTTACCCCGATTGATACGGTTTTGTGCTGTCACGTATTTGTGACAGTCGGCGCGAAAGGGTTAATAATAATTTTTAATACTATTAAAATAAAATATTTTTTTTAATAAAATAATTCTTTTTTCTCTACCACTTTAAATGCATAAAAATGTTAAAATAACACCGGACTGTTTCTTACCTGGAAAAAGAAATACAATTGGTTTTAATAATATTTATTATCTAATTTTATTTTAACAAAGAATTTAGATTAAAGTCCACTTTAGAAATTTCGTGTAAATAATTATTTTTGAGGCTGCCAATAATTTTTGGTAGTCATAAATATTTACTTCTAACTGAAATGAGCTAGAAGTAAAATGGTTTTAATTCCATTTTTTTTTCAATTTCCCTACCATGTGATACATCTCTGAGTGAATCAGAGCATTTGGCAATTTCGTAAAAATATTATGCAGGTATGAGGTATATAAATTGTTCAAATTATCTCATATATTAATAGCTTTGATCAAAGTAAAAAAAAAAGCTACTTACATGATTAAGTTCGTTAGCTTCAAAATAAAATTGCGGAATAATACAACGAACATTCAATATCTAGAACTAACATTATATCAACAATAATGTGTTTCATTTTACTTTCCATAAATGTAAATCATTTTTATCTTTTTCAAAAAGTGTGTATGGATTGCTTAAATAACGACATGAATTATAATCAAAGGTATTTTGTAACGTTGAACTTCTTACTCATAAAACCAATGTAGAATTCTAAGAAGGCTTCTAAAAATGAAGGTCACACATAGAGGCTGCTGCCATACCGATTAGAAGAAATATTTATGCCAAAAATCGTTTGCTTCTGTTTTTATTCCGAAAAAAAAATAATTAAGAAATTGAACATTTTTATTCCTTACGAAAGCATTTAACCTCACACAGTGTCTTTTATGCGAATAGTGTGACCTGCACTTAGCGTCAGAGTAAAGTTAAGATAAGCTTGATGAAAAATAGGAGGATGGAAAAAATAAACTTTTCTTTATAAACACCGTGTTATCGAACTGGAAGTTCTTTAAGAAAACTCGGAAGTTCTGACTACGGAAGCTTTGAGAAACAATGAATTCTTCTGTAACGGTATTTAAGAGTGTTTTTAAGCTTCTTAAATATATGATAATTTGAACAGGCTCTTCGTCATATTTATAGAAAATATAACTGTTTTTAGAAAAAAGCGATCAAAAACAATGTTTTTTTTTAATTGCTTTTGATTTCCTATTGCTATGAAAAACAAGTATCAGTTATCCGATAGTTACATTTTAAGCTCTTAGTAACAGACGAATTTTAAAAATAAATGTGGCACAGAAAAATTGTATATTCTTTTTTTAGAAAAAAAAACTAATTACCAATTATTAGTTTCCGCAGAACACTTAGCAATAGCGCAACTTTAGGTGAAGAGACGGAGTTATAACCCTCTGGATAACAATATGGCGGAAAATAAGGGTCACAGCAGATAAATTTGCCTAGTGGTAGAAACATTTATGTTTTATTGTATGAAATGTGATTTTTAAAAGTTTAAAAAAATTAGGATAAATTTACACATATGCATAGCTTTCAACTCTTAGAGTTTTTTAAATTTATAATTAAATTGACAGTGAATTTCATGCCAAGCTTTGATATTTTATTCTTAATTTAAAATGTTGCCCTTCCCGATACAAAATGAATTTAAAATGGTATATATAATACCACTAATCATTTTTAAATGGTTTTAGGGGCTGTTTGAAACTTTACTTACAAATAATTATAGAAATGTTATTCTACTATAGCTAGAAAAATAATTCTTTAAAAAGTGTAAATGTTATCGGTTATGCTTAGGTATAATAGACAGTAATCAATTTGTTAGACATATGTTTTCAAATGTTGGCGAAGTAACTTAATTTTAGACGATCCCGTCCCCTCCTCGCTGCTCTCGCCAACCCCTGAGCTCAGTAATGCTTTCGCAGTTCCCTTCAACTTGCTTCAACTCGAACTCACTTCACTTACTCAAAGGAAATCAGACCATGTGCTGTGTATGATTAGGTCGATACTTTATTTACGACACACTTGATTTGCATAATGGGCTATTGGCGACGGTCATGAGGATGATCCGAAGACATACCATCGCAATTTTGATCCTCTGCAGAGTGGATGGATTCCCAGCTTTGGTAGACCGACGACCTGCACGCAAAGTCTAGCACTTCATGGTAGAACATTCTAACGACGAATGCCGACCGATATCGCGCACCCTCGGTCCCTAAGCAGGCTGATCAAAGTGGTCACCCAGCTGCTTACTGACCGCAGTCAGCGATGATTGACTGCGGTGTTTTACTGGGAACCGTGTCTTTACTATCAGTCCACTGCTGGACCAGTGGGCTGATCGAACCCTCTTTTTAATTCGTATGATTAGCTGCAGAAATTTCGATAATTGCTGTTTGGAATTAAATATCTCTAATAGGGGGAAATGATATACACTACCCTACAAAAATGGAAGAAAAACTTTTAGCTTTTGACATTTTTTAAAATTTTTCAAGAAATACTTAAACTATTTTGTAACTCTAGAGGTGTTTAGTTCCGACTATGAGACCGACAATCAATTACGAAAAAAAAAAGTTTTTTTTAAAATCTTTTATGCCTTCAAATTAAGCAATAAGCTTGTAACTTGCATCGATTACTTTGGTTGCTATTTGCAATAACTGCATAAATTTTCGTAAACTTTGCCGAAATACTTATAGAGATGCGGATATTTTTATAAAATAATAACTTTTTGCCATAGTTTTTTCTTGCTATAACTTTAAAAATATTCAATAAAGTTAAATAAATATTTGGAGCAATTTGAAACTAATTAAAAACAATTGTTTAAAAATTTGAAAAAAATTCTTTAAAAACTGCGCTTGATATGAGCATTTAAAATAATTCTTTTATACTGCACATGTGCAGGAAAAAATTTAAATTTCTAATTTCATCTTTTTGTAGTAAAACGCAATTGGCAATTAATAAAAAAAGTTTAATTTGAATGTCTTAAAAATCTAAAATGTTTCAAGCAATTAAGTAGCTTTTGTACTTTTTAAAAGAAAGCTCAAAATGATCAGGGATTTTCCACAAATTTTATTTTGTAACATTGCAATTTTAAATCTTCTTTATTAGCCAGACAGCAAGATAAAAGAAAAATGATATGAGATAAAGCTATGCAAATAACAAATTAATTGATATAAGTTACAAGTTTATTGTTTGATTTTCTGGCTTAGGGTGTTCAAAAATACTAGCTTTCTTTCGTTATTTATATCCGGTACCTCAAACCTTTGAAAGCTTTAAACCTTATTGCTAAGTATGAAAAATCGCATGAACAAAACACCTCTAAAGTAATGAAATAATCTAAGTGTTTCTAGAGAAATGTCAAAAGCTGAAAGTGTTTCTTCGATTATTGTATTTTGGCTGATCAGACAAAACAACAATTCAACAATGATTATGTTAGTAACTCTCATATATTGCTACAACTAAACAAATGCCAGACAATTGACCATTAACTGATTAGGCATGGAGTTCTTTTACACTTTCTAACAAAACAATCAAAGTCATTAAGTGTGCAACGCTCATTCAGATGACTATCAATCATGGCTTAACCACAATCACACTTGACATAATTAGGTGAATGAGCCACAGTCACACTAAAACAAATACAGGGTTGCCAGCTTTCTGAAAAATAGACTGGTGGAAAATGATTGAGGAAACAAAAGGTTTTAATTAATTTCCACAGACAAAAAAAAATGTAAATTAGATATCAATACAACTGAATTCTTAAAATTGCCGCCAAAAATTTTTTTTTTACGTTAGTTTCATAAAACATTTGTCGCTACTTTTTAAATTTTATCAGATTGTGGCTACCCTGAAACAAGTATTTTAACTATATTCAAGGATGCCAATTACTACGCTTTCAGAGATGCCAACTTGCTCCGGACAGCAAATATATATTTTAAAGTGGTAGTTTATCAATTGTGATTCTTGGTTTATTAAATTCTATTAAGTAGATTTTTATGTACCAATATTTCTAATGAATTCGTAGGCTTATGTAATTCACCACTTTATCGAACTTATGGTATGCCATTCCTTTTAAAAAGCAAGCAAAATTAGTCAAATATTTGCAAAATTTACTTCGAAGTTATATACCGTTTTTTAAATTATTTTGGCGTGTCCGGAGCAGTTGGCATCTCTG